GTTATTAAGAAAAAAAAGAATTGCTTCCAAAATAAAGTAACAAGAAAACATTGATGTTGCCATCAACTGTCGCCCGGCTCTGTCCTACAGTACACGGTCATTGAGAATGGAAGAGAGATACAGTTACCGATATTTGGACATTAGTATTATCAAAAGATCGTTACCAATACACATTATAATGAAATAATTTTATTTATGAAGCACGTCTTAGATATGGGACAGCGCAACGAGAATTCCGTCGGCATCGAAAGAGTTGCCTACATGGCCGAACGGTCTAGCACGTTGTTCTTGTACTGCTAGGAGACAGATTTCGTAGGTCGAGATTTCAACTCCGGGTTGGGGCGGAAATTGGTATCCTTATTAAAGTGAATTTTATTATGCTTTCTATATTAATTTTCTTCACTTAGGACATCATATCCACCTAAATTGAGAATGGAAGACAGATACAGTTATTTGGACATTCGTTTTATATTTAAAATATATAGGAAAAATATTTTAAAATCTTCTTCTCAAGAACCACTAAAAAACAGCTGAAACTAATTTGGAAGCTTCCGAAGGTTGTGCAAATTGTTCAGATCATGGCCCCTGGGGTAGGTTGGGACCTCATTTGGGAATCCAAGTTTCATATTGAAGTATTAACGGAAAATCTGTTAAAAATCCTATTCTCAAGAACCAATGGGCCAGAAAAGCTGAAACTTATGTGGAAGCTTCCTAGCTGAGGTAGTGTAGATTCTAAATTGTTCAAATAAATTATTGCCCTCGGAGTAGGATGGGGCCATAATAGGGAATCGAAGTATTACATTGAAATATATAGGAAAAATCTTATTCTCAAGAACCACTAGTTCAGAAAACTAAAAGTTATGTGGGAGCTTCATTAGGTAGTGTGTTTCAGTAATTTTCAATCTAAAGTTGAAAATGATTACATAACAAATTATTGTTATGTAATCATTTTCAACTTCAGAATGAAAATTAACGAAAGACAGTAGTGTAGATTGTAAAATATTCAGATTATGGTTCTCAGGGGTAATGTCGGCCACAACAGGGATTATATCTTTAGAATCTTTAGAATTTTCTACTTAAGAACAACAAAGCTGTGATGAATCATATTAATGTGGAAGCATCCTCTGTTAGTGTTGATTCATTTTTGCTTAAATCGGGGCCCCTGTGAATAGGTTAGGGCCACAAAAGACGATTAAAATTTTGCATAAGAATACATATATACACTGTATTTTGTAAAAATATGATGCAGAACAGCATGGCCGAAGTGACTCCGGTGAGCGTTTTGGCGGATGGGCCTCTTGTTAAACAGGTATAAGTAATTGTGCTTGTAAACAGAAAACTGAAAGAATGTGATTCCTCGCTTACAATGTAGCATTTTTCTCTACAGGCTGCTTAATACATGTTTTAAGCTTACAGGAGCTCTTTCTAAATTTGATATTGTCAATATGATTATGTTGTTCATTTTCATGCATAAATTTTCTTTGTCTTGAAACATTTGGATGAAGTATGTGTATTCTTTTACTCTATCATGAACTGTGTATAAATATAGAATTTATTTATTTTCATCATGCACAGATTTTATATATTATTATATTACATATTATTATATATATACATTTTGCATATTCTTACATCTGTTCTGATTTTCACAGAAATATGTCTTCAAAGAAGGCTTTGTTTCTGTCAATTTTCTTGAACACATTTTTTTCTTGATGAAATGCTGCACAAGTACTCGTATATAATACTAAATGCTTTTTTATGCTTACTTCAATGATTTACAATTTCACATAATGTTGATTCCCTTTTTAACACAAACACTAATATGTGAAATGACTCCCAGACCAATGGCAATACCCTGGATGTTTATGTGATTTTCAGCTATATATAGTGTATTAAAAATAAGAGCATTAATAAATTTATTTCAAGAATGGTGCTACTCTCAAAATTACGCAACAATAAATAGCTCACTTAAATTAACGATTCATTACCACTTCATGTTATCTTGTTCTTCTAACTTATTCGTGGTAGAAGTGCAACAAATAATTAATCAGTGTGTTAATTCAACTATTGCTTATTAGATTTAGACCTTAATACCAAAATCAATGATTTTTTAAAAATATCTTTTATTCAAAAGAAGATATATCAAGAATTATTTAAGAGGAATTATTCATGTTATTGCTCGCATCAATTAATTATATTAAATCAATTATTATATCAATTCAATTAAAGAGAACAGTATTTAAACTATGCACATCTTAAATTGAAGATATATCACAAATTTAATAGTTATGGAGAGAACGATTATAGGCATTTATGCCTACTGTTCAATCCAATTCATAATGAATAAAATATCCCTGGCAAAAAATACTAGAGAAAACTATATAGTTAACTATAGTATCAAAGTGAAAACTTTGAAACTTTGATTAACTATAGTTAAAAATTTGAGACTTTGATTTACTATTGTAAAAACTTTAAAACTTTGATTTACTTCAGTAAAAACTTTGATAATTTGATTTACTATAGTAAAAACTTTGAAACTTTGATTTTCTATAGTAAAAACTTTGAAACTTTGATTAATTATTGTGAAAACTTGAATAACTATACACCCGTGGAATTTAAGTTTTTTTAATGGAGAAAGGAAAGTAGTATACAATAAAATGAAATTTGATTCATTTACAACCAAAATACCTGCTAAATCAGCTTCAGTAAAGATGTAATTTCTTAATTTATAAATATAAATATAGCATTTGAATTAACTAATTTGTAAATTAAAATTAAGGTATACAACCCCCCCCCCCCCCCCACCACCACCACCACCACCAAAAAACGGCAAAATAAGCAATAAATTATGAAAATACTTTAATAAGTTGATAACCTAAAGTAAAAACTTTGAAACTTTGATTTACTATAGTAAAAACTTTGATACTTCGATTAACTATGGTGAAAACTTGAAAATTTGATTAGCTATAGTGAAAACTTTGAAACTTTGATTTACGATAGTATAAACTTTGAAGCTTCGATTTACTATAGTGAAAACTTTGAAATTTTAAATAACTATAATAATAAAAACTTTGAAACTTTGATTTACTATTGTGAAAACTTTGAAACTTTGATTTACTACTGTGAAAACTTTAAAACTTTGAATAACTATAATAAAATCTTTGAAACTATAGTTATATTCACTATAGTGAATCACACTATAGTAAAAACTTTGAAACTTTGATTAACTATAGTAAACTATAGTTAACTATAGTTTACTTTAGTATTTCTTGTTAGGGATATTTTAAATTAATTTAATAGTTGTTCTTTCTTAGGGAATCATTAATCTAGACTTATTAATTAATGATTTATATCATTTGTTTAACTGAAGAGAGAAATAATTCAACTAATGCTGTCATCATTATTTCAGTTGATACACACAATTAATTGAAGTTAGCATGAATTGAATTCAAGTGGTATCTTTAATTGAATTATTGTGTGTATCTTATGTTCATAGATTAGGAAGCAACATTTCAATTACGGTATTGCGCTTTATTCAGCAAATTGATTTATTATATCAACATTTGAAATGATGATATACAGTAATTCAGAATTCATAGTTGGATTTAAAATTAAAAAAAAAAGATGAGTTAGATTGAATTGTTGCATGCATCAAATAAGTTTATGACATCTTTAGACTAATTTAAGATTGTTTGATTACGGTATTGCGCTTTATTCAGCAAATTGATTTATTATATCAACATTTGAAATGATGATATACAGTAATTCAGAATTCATAGTTGGATTTAAAATTAAAAAAAAAAGATGAGTTAGATTGAATTGTTGCATGCATCAAATAAGTTTATGACATCTTTAGACTAATTTAAGATTGTTTGATTATTTGATTTTTTTAAATTTATTTTGCTTAATTATTCATATTCTTTATAATCTTTCCCCATTTTGGCACAGTCCATGCAATTCTAAAGGTTATTTTTTAATTCTTAATGTGCTGTAGACTATTTTTTCTCTTAAAGTTTTTTTTCTTAAAGTTTTAATGTTTTTTTCTTATGTTTTTTCTCTGGTGTTTTAACGTTTTTTTCCCCTTGGTGTTTATTTTTTTTTCTGTCCAAATTTATAATTGTTCTCTTTAAATACATTTATTGTTAATAAGAATATGAATGTCTATAGTATTAATAAAGTCGATGCATGCAATAATCTTTTCTTTATATACTTGTCATTGATAGATCTGCTTTGTCGTCCCATGTACCAACAAGAGGCCCATGGGCCACAATACTCACATGAGTCACAAGAAAGTTACCCTATGCATTTTTACACCAACACAACCGGGAAGCAATCCCGATGGAAACTCCCTCTAAAAATCCAGGGTGAAATTTACGTTGGAATAAGAACATACCAAGGGCCAGAAAAGATGTGGAAGAAAGGTGAACAGGAATGGGACTCGATTCCAAAAAAAGTTCAGTGAAACTGAATTCGTAACAAACCTAGTGACATTATTCATGCAAAATATGAAGGAAATCGAAACTTAAATAAAATTGCAAAAATTCATCATATCTTTTGTTTGTGGCTTTATTTCGAAGCAATATATTTAATTCCACAATGTGTATTTAAGTAGTTCACAACAGCATGTCGGGTTAAAAAAAGTTGTTTGATCATGAGCTGTACATTTGATAAAATGCATTGAATGGGAAGCCAGTTTTTGAGTCCTGTCCAAACAAAATTGATCGAATCATTATGGAAAGGAATTTGTAGTTTACAAGCATAAGACACTATAAGTACTAGCATTTGACATAATTATAAGATTAAAAAAACTGTACGATTTTATTGACCTGTAATAACTATTTTCCTGGCATCTTCTTGTGTGTGAAGTGAAGGAATTTTCACTAATTATGCGTGTGCTTCCCTCTATACCAAACTCTCCATGTTTCCAAAATCAGACATACAAACGAAAGAACAATAAAATAAAGCAAAAAAAAAAAAAAAAAAAAAAAAAAAAACATGAATTATTCACTTTCATCTGAGCTGGAGGAGGTACGACGGGATTTTTTAAATTCCAAGTCTAGCTGCTTCTTTTCTGAAAGGCGAGAAAGAGCTTTATTAAGACGTAGGCAAACTGTGGAATTTAGGGCCTCGGTCGAACTTTCGTCTCTGACTTCGTTTATGCCTCCAGTAACGAGGCCAAGGGCAGACACTGATCTCTGGTCAGGAGATCTGTCGTGTTGGAAAACCACTGAGCCACTATCTCCTTGTGCAGAAAAGGGATGATCAGGAGAATCAATACTTGAAACGAGAAACATTTCACTTCTATTTGCGAACAATTTATAATAGAATTCCGAGCTCATGATTCGACCATCAGAAAGATTAGTTGTTGCCCCCTTCTTATGTACGACAGCATTTGCCGGTATGGGTCCTTCGTAAATATTTACATTGCATGGATTTTCCAGTCTGTTTAAAAAGGTCGTATCGCAGTTTCTTTGTTTGTCTTTATCTATCTGGAAAACAGCAAAGTCATGAAAAGGTTCTGTATCAGAATATAAACATTCACCGAATTTGGAGAGTTCCTTAGTTTGTGGGGACATAATATACACTATTTGTTTCTCATGAGCTAAAGCATGATGACACGTCAATCCATATACCTCGTCTTGACCATGACTGTCTTTCAGAAGAGCACCAGCTGTTGCATAGGAAGCTTTTGAATTGTCGCAATTCTTATCCAAGTATACTTTATCCCCTTGCTTTACATATCTGTGTATATTCATTTCACCGGACACGATATGAAGGGACATAATGTTGAAGAATTCAGGACTGAGTTTATATAATTCAGAATTTAGCTGTTCAATGTTTTCATCATTTCCTATAAATACCCTGAACTCTGACCTCTCCCATATACCGAAACCATGTATTCCAGATCTCCTAGATTAATAAAAACACAATTGCATGCATTCAAAGGTATCATTGTCAGTATTAATAATAAAATAATATTAAACTTACGCTTAATATGGTAAATAGATTCCATAGTTTTCAATTTATGAAGGCTAATTACCTAAGTATCTTAAACAACGTTAATCATACATGAATACAAGTAAGCAAATTACTTTATTAATATCAAACATACTGAAACAGAAATTCTTTAATGGTCTCTGGAATCTGAATTTCATCTCTTGAATTTCCTTCCGGTGACATTTGTGATAAAATTGATCTGCATTCATTCCATACTTCTGGCATTTCTTCCTTTCTTATGGATCCTCGATTGAATTCTTCAAGAAACCCTTGAATGATTTTCTTCAAAGGGATTTCTAGGAGAGAGTTAAGAGCTTCCCGAACACACTTCTTTTTTCTGTAAAGTAAGGGGTACTTCGATTCAGCAGTAGCCTTAGTTGGCCTGATAGTTTGGTTAAGGACTATAAAAGCCTTTGTCCACACAGCTGGTCGTATGGAATCGATGAGCTACTCAAACAAAAAAAATCAAAACTTGATTTATTTTGCAAAGATTAACAAATATGTAGTAGGTAAAGTTTTTGCGTTTATGTTAGGGCTGTGTCAATATATCGAATATTCAATACGTATCGATTTTCAGGAATGTATCGTATCGAAAAAATAACTTCCAATACGTATCGGACAGGCAGTTTTCCTTATAATTCTGTAAAAAGGTTTGGAATTTCAGTTACCAAAGATTATTTTTAACTGTTTTGAATTATAAATGAACAATAATGAAATAAACATTAAGGAGATAGCACATCTTAAATAACTATTACAAAATACATAGACAACTATATTTTAACATGTTATGTAAGACTCACCCAGTATTTATCAAATTTATGCATTAAATGTCATTTACAAGACATTTGTGAAAGACTTAATAAATAATCCAATATATCGCATATCGCTTTAAAAAATATCGTATCGTATCGTATCGAAGTATATTGCTCAATACACAGCCCTAGTTTATGTAAAAGTATATAGTTACCTCTTCTATTGTACTCAAATATTCATTTTCACTTTGAAAATAGATAAGCGCTGAAACAGACCACTGTCCCTCACGCAAGGAGTACTTTACTGGCTCGTCTGAAGAAAAACATTTAAAATTGTAATATCATGGCCAAACTACTCCAACATCAGAGAGAGAGAGAGAGAGAGAGAGAGAGAGAGAGAGAGAGAGAGATGTACCTTTCATTGAAGTAATTAACTTTTCTGTTTCTTCCGTAATTTCTCCGGCTAGGTAAAGTTGAACTCTTTCGGCGCCTTTGAGTGCACAAGTTGGAGATGATCTTAAAGCTTTTAATCTTTTTTCTAAACCACAAACTAGTTCATAGTGATAATAAAGACGTGGAAAGCTGTTGATCTTGTACCACTTTTCATTGTACAGGGATCGATAGCCTTCTGAAATTTTAATTATGATCAAGTATAATAGCAATTCCATTTGCAAATTACATGTAAATTGCTATGATGCAATAAATAAAATTAAGTAATCCTTTTTAAAGTTACATATTGTATGCCAGGAAACACTTATCTTCTTGTACATATTGACTACTTCATGAAGTTGTTTTAATTGTTTTAATATATTTACAAGAACTAATATATACATTATATAAAACGATAATGTTCCTCCGATTTACCACAGCAGTTCTTATCTTTTTAAAAGGAAATAAAGAGAGAAATTTTCTCACCAGATTTAGACTTCTTATTTCTGTCATTTCCCACATTTTTGTTTCTTTTATCTAAGGCATCAGATAATGTTTTCGATATCTGCAACTTAGTATAAATGTGAAAATTTAAGTTCATCGTAAATTGTCCTCTGAATTCTGATATATCATTACTTTATAAATATTGCAAAGAGATTCTACATCAATCGTGTTGCAAAATGGTTGATAAATAATAAATGAACTTTGATAAACTTTATCAGGAAGTTTTCTTTTAACAATAAAACCAAAAAAAAAAAGCTCAGGAACTTTTGGATACTTACTTTTGTTTGAGTGGCTGGAGCAACTTCAGTTTCGGAACCAAATGTAAAGTTGCAGGTGTAAGAGCAGATCATTTTATCAGATAATTATATGTTTAATTTGCTGCAATAGAATATTTGTATATTTACATTTTAGACATTCTACGCAGATATATGGAAAAGTTTCAGAAATGTTAATTAGATATTGTGTATTAATAGAATACATCGCGGTCCCCATTTTCAAAGCATTTGATTGGTAACTTATTTTCTCACTAATTTAGAGGAAAAGGAAATTTTTAAAAGAAACCAATCCATACATTTTGTTGTTGTTCTTTTTGATGATATTTGACCTATGAACATGTGATAATTCTTGAATATGCGGTTTTATTCTTCTTCTGTTACTTTTTGCTTTCGAAATCTCTTGTATATATAAAATTTTCAGTGCATGTAACAAAAAATAAATAAAAATACCTATTAGCGATAGAATTAAGGAATCACTTTCTTGTTTGTTTGGTATGCCAGGTAATGAACGACAGTTTGAAACGTGGAATAATTTGCATAACGTGTGAAACCCGTTATGCATAAATTTTTCCACTTTTCCAACTATTGTTAATGTCCCTGGCATACCCAACAAACTAGATAGTACTTCCTTATATTTACATTTAATTGTGAAAAAAAAATGCAAATATGCAAATTTTAAAATTAAAAAAAAATGCAGTCTAAAACATATAGAATTAAAATACATAAGGCATTCCAAGGTCATTTCCATAGTCCCTGCATACTGACGTCAGACAATGACAGCCGCGGGAAATTGACATACATATAAGGCACTTGAATTTTCACTTGGCGAAATTACCATTCAGTGGTACATATTGGGAAATCAGCAACTTAACTTTCAAAAAGTTACAATAGAGGAAACAGTTTAAAATGGAAATCATGATAAATGAGCTGAAATTTCATTATTTATATTACGTTTAAAAATGCAAGTAAATTAGACTTACGTAGACTGAAATATATTACATTCATTTAGTTAAGCAATAAATCATTTCTTACCCTATGAGTTATCTGTGCCAATCTGCTCAGATATCAGTTTTATAAAAAAGCAATGACCGGTCTTTAAGATATTAGCACAGCATTTTGTTTTCATCCTTTGACAAGTAAAGAGCGACGAACATAGACACTTTGAATGCTCGATGAACATGCATATCATTATAAGTTTGTTAAGGAAAACAATGACCAGGAAAATATTAGATTGTAAATAAACATAGAAATGAACCATATTTTAAACTTACGGAAATAATACAATACAAGGAAATAACATTTTTAAATGAGGCCATCTTTAAAAAATTGATTGGTTGCCCTCTCACGACCGACTGGATAAAAATGGCCCGACTCTACACTTTTTGTAACCTCCAAGAATTAAGCAATTATTTTTTTTTTTTTATGTATTCCGGAAAATATATTTTGAAAATTCAGCATTGATGTTGAAATTTTCCAAGAAAAAAAAATTCCCCTCCTTCCTACCGACCCTAATTTTTCATCTTGGGTCGGGAAAGGGCAAGCAAACATTATTTTAAAGTTGGCCTGATAAAATGTTAGTTATCCCCTGAATCACTCTATATATGTTTACCAATTATTGATTAGTATTCTTTGATATAATATTAGTCTAGATGCGAAGAAATGTTAGGTAAACTTGTAAAACGAATAAGATAAAATTTCCTTTTTAAGTACCTTTGTGCATCTTTTGCACGAGTACTTAAAGGATAGCACAAAATATCACGCACCCTTGAAATTGTATACATTTAACAGGAAATAGCATTTCAATACATTATTATGAAATGGGAAGAAACACTCAACAATTCACAAGGACTAATTCTTAACAAATGTATACTTAGAAGCTTGCCTAACATGTTTAAAGGTATCTTCCTCAATCACACTTGTGAAGAATTTAATGACCCTTTCTTTTATTGCAATTTGGCATAAATCAAAAAAAGAAGTAAATGCAAATTCAAATCCAGATAGTCTTTTTACTTGAATTTTATATATTCACAATGTATCGAATATACAGAAACACAGAATAACATGACCTCAGATTTAAGAATGATGGTATTTCCTTTGTATTTTCTGTTTATTAGTTGTCCTGATTTTCTTTTTTAGCTTTGTTTTACTGCAATTTTAAGGCAAGAACAGAGTGAAAACACGTCTTTATCTCCTATTAAGGTTAAAATGATTACACATACAAATTAAAGCAACATACAAATTAAAGCAGATCAGCATATTTAACGAAATAACGGCAAATAAGTTTTAACATAATTTCAATCTAGTTAAATGTTTTCTTTTCAGGAAAAAATGTCCCTTTTTACATTATTCCTTTTTAAATGGTGAAATGTCTGTTATATGACTTTCAATATTTTATTTCGTCATATATGACACAAGAATTACACAATTAACTAAATTTAAATACCTTCTATGATACTAACACTGATCTGATGGAGATTGATTGAAAATGGATTAGTAGATTTGATCAGTGTATCACTTCGAAAGTAAATATAACAATAATTAAATGCAATTAATTGAATCACCAAAGAGAGAACTATAACATGCATGTGACAAGATACGTAATCTAGTTAGAAAGTATTTTCTTCAAACACAGTATAAGCTGTGCTCATGTATTACTATAGTAAATGTTTCCAGGGCATCTTCTTCTGTTTGTGAAGAAAGACTATTCATTCAAATGTGCATGAATTACTCCCTAGAAAGAAATGTGTACTGAATTTTTTTGTTTTCAAAATTCTGCAGGTTTTAAAATCGAGCAGACTGCTTACTACCTACCCCCCTTCCCCCTTTCAAGAAAGAAATTTTAAAAAAAAGTAAAAATATTGGTTAACTAGCTTCGTAGCTTTTAACTAAGTTAGTTTTGAACGTTCTTTTTCATAGTCCAATTTACTTTGAAAAATTTGTTAAGATTTTATTGATGGAAGGCAATTGGTTTGATTTATTTGCTTTCATCTATTTTCTTTTACTCCTTGATCGGAAGGTCGTGCGTTTGAATCACGGCCGCTACTGACCTAAGTCGATAAAAAAGGTAGAAACTGTTCCTTCGCCAAGCGCCCGGCACTTTGAAGTGAAAGGTGCGGGTCTTTCGGATGAGACCTTAAAAACCTTAAAAACCGAGGCCCCGTGTCACGGTAGGCGTTGGCACGATAAAGAACCCTCTTTGCTCAATGGCTCCGAGTGCCGAGTAAAGGTATAAATTTGAAGCCCTTCACCGGTACAAGGTGACGTCTCTATATGAGTGAAAAATTCTCGAATGGGACGTAAAACAAATACAATCAATCAATCAATTAATCTATTTTTTAATTTTATTTTTTTGTACACGCAGTTTAACAATGCTTGAAGTAAAACTTTATGGATATCAATTTTGTACACGTCATATAAGTATGCTAAAAAGATATAAAGAGGACAATCACGCTGGAAACATCAAATGTTCTAAAATATAAAATTCTAAGAAAAACATTTGGACGTGCAAAACATGAGAACGCTCAAAATTAATTTCATACACTCTCATCTGAATCTGAAGATATACGACAAGAGTTTTCAAATTCCAAGTTCAACTGCCTGTTTTCCGAAAGGCGAGAAAGAGCTTTATTTAGACGTAAGCATATTGTGAAATAAGGACTTCTGTAAGACTTTCGTCTTGGACTTCATCTATCCCTCCAGTAACCAGGCCCAGGGCAGAGACTGACTTCTGGCCAGGATATCTGTCGTGTTGGAAAACAACTGACCCACTATCTCCTTGCTTTTCCATTCTGTTTAAAAACGTCATATCACAGTTTCTTCGTTTGTCTTTATCTATTTGGAAAACGGCAAAGTCGTGTAAAGGTTCTTGATCGGAATAAATGCATTCATCGACTTGGGCAAGTTGCGTAGTTTCTGGGGACTTAAGGTACACTATTTTTTTTCTCCCTAGGTAATGCATGATGACACGTCAATCCATATACCTCGTCTTGACCAAGACTGTCTTTCAGAAGAGCACCAGCTGTTGCATAGGAAGATTTTGAATTATCACCATTTTTACATGTATCTAGATATACTTTATCTCCTTGCTTCACATGACTGTATATTTTCATTTCACCGGACACGATATGTAATGACATAATATTAAAGAATTTTGTTTCAAGTTTGTATAATTCAGATTTCAGACTTTCAATGTCTGCTCTGTTTCTTTCAAATACCCTGAACTCCCAGATATCAAAACCATGTACGTCAGATCTCCTGGAATTACAAAAGTACATACAACAAATATCCTTTATAATTATAAAATTATACTAAATTTAGGCTTGACGTAATAATAGTTTCATTAAATTAAAAGTATCTTTTAATACATAGCAATGTAAGTATGGTATAGTAAATATCAAACATACTCAAACAAGAGGTTTTTAATGGTCTCCGGGACCTGCATTTCATTTGTTTTCGATGAGATTTGTGATAACACTGATTTGCATTCATTCAATATGTTTGGTATTTCTTTCCTGGATCCTTCGCCAACATTCAATTCTTCAAGAAACCCTTCAATGCATTCCTTCAAAGGTGTTTCTAGGAAAGAGGTGAGAGTTTCCCGAACACATTTCTTTTTTCTTGAGAGCATCGAGTATTTTGATTCAACTGTGGCCTCAGATGGTCTTACACCTTGATTGAGGACTATTAAAGCCTTTGTCCGTACAACTGGCTGTATGGAATCGAGAAGCTACTCAGAAAAGATAGACATTGAAATTTTATTTATTTTTATAAAGATATAAGGTTTAATCAGTCAATACAACATTTTGGCAAGAATGTGCAGTACAAAGTAATTGCATTATAAATACCTCTTCTATTCTATCTAAAGGTTCATTCTCACTTTGAAAATAGATAAGCGCTGACACAGGCCATCGTCGTTCACCTTTTCCAAGAACACCTTACTGGCTCTTCTGAAGAAAAGTTATGTGTGATGTGTTTAAACTATTCTTATATCAGAGAGAGAGAGAGAGAGAGAGAGTTAACCTTTGAGGAAGTAATTGACCTCTGAGTGTCTTTAGTAATTTCTCCTGATAGGTAAAGCAGAACTCTTTTGACACCTATGGGTACACTTAATTCAGAAGAGTCGCCCTCGTGACGCAGTGGTTAGAGCGTCTGCTCTAGAGTCGCGAAGTAAGAAGTTGATCCTTACGTCGCGGGTTCGAATCCCATTGTGGGACGTGGAGACCGGTCCTTCGGATGGGACCGTATAAACCGAGATCCCATGTCGCAGTAGGTGCTGGCACGAAAAAGATCCCTCACTGCTCAATAGCCGTAAGTGCCGAGTATAGGACAAAATTTGCAGCTCTCCACTGGCAAGTGGTGGCGTCTCCATATGAGTGAAAAATTCTCGAGAGGGACGTTAAACAACATACAAAAAAATTCAGAAGATGATCTTAAAGCTTTCATCTGTGTTGCAAGATTAGAGACAAGTTGATGGTTGTAGGAAAGGATTGGAAACTGTTGATTGAATACCACTTCTCACTGTAGACTGTTCGATATCCCTCTGAAATCAACGATCAGATTTTACAAATCTACTTACAAAATACGTGACATTTATTAAATAAATGAAATACATAATTTTTCTTTCAAGATAACTTTTGCTCCTTACCAGATTTAGATCTCTGATACCTGACGCTTTCAATAAGCTTGAGTCGTGTCTCAAAGACATCCGACAATCTATTCTCCATCTGCTTACGAATTAAATAAAAACTTTTGATTGATATGTGATATAAGATAAATTATAATGGCAAAGATAATATTAAACAGAATCGACATTTATCTATTGGGATGTGAAAATGAATAAATTTCCAAATATTTTATTCTGGAGTTTTCTTATCATGATAAAAAAAAACAGAATTAGAACTATTGGATACTTGCTTGTGGTTGGTTGACTGTAGGGGCAGTAGCTCCGTGACCACGTGTAACCTTATACGTGTAAGAGCGGGTCATTCTATCATATAAAAAATGAAGCACTAGTAATGATGAGCATCAAAGTAATTATTTGACCAGAATATGTAATTTTCCAATGGAATGATCAAAGATGAAATCTA